AGCATTTGTTCATCAGGGAACATCTTAATTTTCCCCTTACTTTTGAGGGACTGTCTTGCTGGATACAGGATTTTTAGTTGACAGGTTTGGTTTCTTTTTCCTCTTATTTTAGCATTATTTCCACCCACTGCCTTATGACCTCCAGAGTGTCTGACGTGAAGTCTGCTGATATTCTCATTGAGGATTTGTTGTATGTGACAAGTCACTTCTCTTGTTGCTTTCAAAAGTCTCCCTTTGTTTTTGTCCTTTGACAGTTCTAGTATAATGTGCCTCAGTGTGAGTCTGATTTCATTACTTGTTTATTGAGCTTCTTGGATGTTTATATTCATGTTTTTCATGAAATCTGAGAAGTTTGGGCTATTACTTCTTCAAATATTTTTTTCTACTCTTTTATCTCTCATTTCTCATGCAACTCCCACAATGCATTAGTTGGTCTGCTTGATGATGTCTCATGGGTCCCTTAGGTTCTGTTCACTTTTCTTTAATCTTTTTTATTTCTGTTCTTCAGGTGCAATACTTTCCATTGTCCTGTCTTCATGTTCACTAATTTTTTTTTAGCTACTTAGATATGCTTTTGAATCCCTCCACTGAATTTTCAGTTATTGTACTTCTCAGTTCCTGAATTTTATAAATTTTTATTTCTCCTTATTGGTATTTCCATTTTGTTCATACAGCATTTTCTTGCTTTCGTTCACATCTTTTAGTTCTTTAAAAAAGTCTTTGTCTAGTAGATTTGGTGTCAGGTTTTGGGGGTTGGTTGGTTTGTTTGTTTGTTTGTGTTTTGATGGAGTCTTGCTCTGTTGCACAGGCTGGAGTACAGTGGTGTGGTCTTGGCTCACTGCAACCTCTGCCTCCTGGGTTCAAGTGATTCTCCTACCTCAGCCTCCCAAGTAGCTGTGATTACAGGCGCCCGCCACCACACCCTGCTAATTTTTTGTATTTTTAGTAGAGACAGGGTTTCACTGTGTTGGCCAGGCTGGTCTCAAACTCCTGACTTCGTGATTTGCCCGCCCCAGCCTCCCAAAGTGCTGGGATTACAGGCGTAAGCCACCACACCTGGCCTTATGTTTTTTTAAGGGACAGTTTCTGTTGATTTGTATTTCTTTTTTGAATAAGCCATTTATTCTTGTTTATTTGTATGCCTTGGAATTTCTTTTTCCCATGAAAACAGCACACTTGAATTTAATAATTTGATGACTCTGAAAATCAGATTCTCCTTCTTCTCTAGCATTTTCTTTTTTTGTTGTTACTGTTTTTGTGATTGTTTTAGGCTGTCAAAGATCAGCCTCAGGTGTAAACGTAGGGTCTTCTTAGATGTTTTCTGAGCCTATCCTTCCCCTGGGCATGCACAGTGACTTTCTAATTTCCTCTATATATGTGGTTGGTTTTTAATGTCCTAGTCTTCAATGTCTGGCTCCCAAAAGGGGAAAAAGAAAATTGAATTGGTGTGTAGGAAGGGGAGGCTCCAGCTCTTTAAATCTCCTGGAAATCAGTTCAGCCTGGGAGGTTTGGGTGGGGTTTGCAACAGTGAGGAGGAGGTAAAACAGCAGTATCCATAGCCTGTTTGCACCTTTGTGATGAGAAGCAGCAGTTAGAGCACAGATCTCCAATATTTGGAGAACGTAATTTTCTTTGCCCACCGTGACTTGTGCAAGCATCACACAGTTGACTGAGGCATAGAGTGTGGGTAGCTGCTCCTGTGCTAAACCTGCATGCAGGTGACTGAAATTAACTACAGTTTACTGTCCAAGCCTTCACCTGGAAGTTGCAAGCCTTCAGTAGACTCCAGGTTCCAAAATATTTACATCAGACAGATGCTGCCACTGAAATTGTTTTCAAGGTGGAGAAACAGATTTGTGGTGCTTCCTACTCTACCATCTTTCCAGAATCCACCGCATTTGTTTTTACAGTCATTTTAACCTGCAGTGATCACCTCAGTCATAGCATTTAACTTTGAATGCAGTGTGTCTCAAATTAGGATCTAAGAGGTATTCTCTGGGGTTTGTGAGTTCTGCATTGGAAAAGCACTTGTAAAGCACTTGTTTATAATTGAGTATAGGAGGAAGAAACATTAGACAAATAACATAATGAAACTTTGATCAGTGCTGAGAAGGAAAAATACAGTGCACACTGTAAAAGTGCATTTTCTAAACTATTTTGACCTATTTTAAAATAATTAGATCTTAGAATTTAACACAATTTTTAAAAATGTAATATTGCCCTCTGAAACTTTGTAAGGTTGCTTCAGTCTGTTACAGCAGCAAACACTACAAGATCCTTTGTTAATGAAACAGAATGGTAAAATTTGGGTGAGCCATGTGCTCAGCCAATAAACTTGACTTAAAAAATCCTACCCTGGGCGACAGAGCAAGACTCAGTCTCAAAAAAAAAGAGACTTTGGGATCCTTAACCAAGACAGCGGGTAGTAGAACAGGTAACGTGGAAAATCAAACAACTACAACTAAAAGACTTGGAAAGAGTCTACGTGAAATTATTTCAAATGAAGAAAAACCCTTCATTGCACCTTGGTTCAAGTGACCCTGTAATCTCAGACCTGGTTCTAGGTCTCTCTATACCTCCCTCTACCACTCAGTGACATTTGAGTGTAGGTAAATCACAATTATTATTGAAATTCATTTTCTCCATCTGTGAAAAGATAGCAACACCCGTCTTTACCCAGGGGAACTGTGTGAGGCTCTAGAGAAGTAATATAAAAGAAAATATGTTGCAAACCATAGGAAGCTATAGAAATGCTTAGTCTATTACTAAAATTTATATACCATTGTGTATATTTCCAACTTGGACAACAGTGAAGCCCTATAATTCACTTAGAGATTGGGGGTAGAGGCAGTAAAAAGGCAAGGATATTCCAGAAGGCGGAACTAAAAAGTTCCTAAATAATTTGACCCAAACATCAGTAATAAGGCTTAAGAAACATAATTTTGCTCACCCCGAACTCCTGATTTCAAGTGATCCACCAGCCTCGGCCTCCCAAAGTGCTAGGGTTACAGGCGTGAGCCGCTGCGCTTGGCCTGAATGCCAGCATCTTAATAGCAACACTGACCCAGATTATTTCACAACTACTTTAGCTATTAACTGCTTTAAAACTGAGTACTTAGCTCAAAGTGATTTTTTGGTTTACTTTTTATTATGCAAACTTTCAAAAATACTCAAATGTAGAAATAATAGTACGATTAACTCTATGTATACCCATCACCAGCTACAGCAATCAACTCGTGTACTTCTATTTGATCCATAACCCCTCCTACTCCCAGCCTTCCATTGTTTTATTTTGAAGTAAATAAAACATCTTATGTCATTTTGTTTATGTGTATTTCAATATTAGCAATACTTTCTAAATGAATAGAATCAAAAGGTAACTTCTATACAGTGATGATGAGTTGGGACTGATAAGCAGCTAACATTATAATAATTATGGTATAAATCAGATTTTGATAAAAACCAACTTTCTCCACTGCATGTTTGGTAAAAAAAATCGGCCGAGGGACCAAAAGACTTTCTTGCCATAGTGTTTTAAAAATGTGATTTCTTTTGTAACTTTAAATATCCTATTCTTTCTTGCCCTCTTCTTCTGTAATTGCTTAAGCAGAATAAAGTGAAGTTGTATTAATTTTTTTAGCAAAGTAAAATATTATGTTTGAGTATTCTCAATATGCCATTGGGAAATAAGTAATTTGAAATATTCATAAAATCTCAAATGTCTGTAAGTTGAGTAACTTTGCTTAAATAGCAATTTTGTAAGTACAATTTTTATTTGTTAAATGGACTTTCACTGAATTATTCAAAGGTAGACTGTTAATCAATGGTGGGACTAAACATGAAGTATTATATTTAATTTTATGTTTATATATAATGAAGTATTAGCTACTCATTTTTAACTTACTGCTTGATATAGCCCAAATGCATACCGTATAATTCTTTAACCATGAAACTAGGTTGTCTAAGCATTTTATCATATCATTTAGCTATAGCACTGTGCCGAAAATAATGTTATTTGAACTTTGAATATTCACCATTATTAAAAGCCTATATATTTGGAAGAAAATGTTATTTTGTGTTATAATGTTCTTTTATACAGCTTTTATGTATAATTCTTTAGTTAATTAAGTAGAACTATTAATGTTTATAAGCATATCTTCTAAAGTTTGTTTAAATGATAGTCATCTTTTTTATTCTCTGAAACTGTTATTTGACTTGATACTTTTATAACTAAATATGCAGAAGAAAGAAATTTGAGGGGAATTACATCAGTTTTTTAATATATTTTTCATTTGGTATTAATTGCATTTTATTCTTTAGTTTCATATACATCATAATTTCTAACCTAACCAGAAAACCAAGACTTTTTTCAATCCAGACTTAACTAGGTGTGTGTTATTCTGCTTATTTTTCTTGCCGTAATAGATGACTGTTAATTCTGTGAGTGGTCTAGAATGACAGTGGAAAGCTATCACTGCAGCTGAAAGTAATCAGGGGTTTTTACATTAAGAGTGTATTTTTAGTTTTCTAGAAGCTTACAATTAATTTCCGTGATAGACTTATTTTTTTTTCCCCCCTGTATAAAAACGGTTCACTGTGGGAAGAATTTTTTCCTGAGTGATGAAATGATTGAAATCTTTATGGTATTCTTGAGAATAGAAAACAATGATTTCTGAGCAACCTAGGAAGAGTTGTTGGTTACATTAAAGAATATTCATGGATTTTATGAGAAGGCTATGGTGATCTTTGTAAAACTTCAGAAAATCATGACTGTTTTAGCAGAAATAACAATTTATTTCTTAAAAGCAAATCTATTTTAACTGCTTATACATAATTTTTTCTGTTTGGGGCTGGAAAAAGGATATATTATTTAACATAAAAAGCTCATATAAGATTATAACTTAAGAAATAGCAAGTCATGTGCCTCTAACATTGTGAACATTAACGTGTAATGTTTTTGTTTTCTTGTTAAGCTAACACGTTTACAATTTTTTTTTAAGGCAAATCCTCCTCCAGTCCTGGTCAACACAGATAGCTTGGAAACACCAACTTATGTAAGTTCCGTTTCCTCCCCACGTTTAAGTAATTCTGCCTTTCCTGTTCAGTTTTTCGTACAAATACGAAGACCATGGAATTTTCTCTAATACATTTCTCTTAAGATGTCCTGTCACTATAATCTATAGCTGTAATAGCTACAGTAAATGAAATAATATGTCCTCCTTTGGTTTTTTTTTTTTTGCTTATGTAAAGTAGAAATTTTTAAATAGAAATTTATAGTTTAATTTTGAAATTACGATGGCTAACTTTCACAAAAGGTTGTCTCTAACCATTGGTCACTTACACAGCGCCATATATTTAAATCATTTTAGAAGTCTAATTGAATGACTGGATTTTTAGTAACCAGGTTTTTTTGTGCATTCGGATATACTAAAATAATTAGTTATAACTTTGTCATTTTAAATTGATCAGGGACGAAAGCCCACTTGTTGTGTAATTTTATTATATGAAAGGTCCAGAATAGATAAATCCATACCTACCGAAAGTAGATTAGCAGCTGCCAGGTGGTGGGTGTAGGCAGAATGGGGAATGACTGCTAATAGGTCCAGGGTTTGTTTATGGGGCAGTAAGGATGTTCTGGAAGTAGAGAGTAATGATGATGGCACAACTCTGTGAATAAACTAGAAACTACTGAATTGCATACTTTAAAAAGGTAGATCTTACGGTATGTGAATATCTCAACATAATTTGTTAAGGTGAAAAAGTAGAAAAAGGTGAGTAATAACATAAATGCAAATTAAAACAGTTAATACATTTTAAACATTATGTTACCAAAGGATCAAAAAGTTTATCAGTACATTCTGCTGGTGACAGTATGGGGTAAAAATATACTGATACATTTTTGTTGAAGTATAAGTGGATAAAACTTTAGAAAATGCAATTTCATGATAATGATTGAGTCTAAAAATCAATGCTTTTTAAAATATTTTTTCTTTTGTAACTTTTTGTATTGTACCTGAGAAGCCATTGCATAATCCAACATCACAAAGACTTATACTTAAGTTTTCTTCTAAGAGTTTTACGGTTTTGCTTTTACATTTTGGTCTTTGATTCATTTTGAGTTGATTTTTGTAATGTGAAGTAGAAGTCCAACTTCTTTCTTTTGTGTGTGGATAGCATCACTGTTGAAAAGACTCTTCTTTCCACATCGAATGGCCTTGGCAACCATATAGAGAATAAGTTAACTGTAAACATATGGGTGTATTTCTGTAATTCCTTTCAATAATATTTTGCAGTTTTCTGTATACAAGTCTTGGAGTTCTTTTGTTAAATTTATTTGTAAGTATTCTCTCACTCCTCTCCTTTTTTTTTTTTTTAAAGATAGAATTTCACTCTGTCACCCAGGCTGGAGTGTGTTGGGACAATCTCAGCTCACTGCAGCCTCCACCTTCCAGGCTCAAGATGATCCTCCCACCTCAGCCTCCCAAGTAGTTGGGAACACAGACACGTGCCACCACAATTTTTTTTGTATTTTTGGTAGAGAGAAGGTTTTACCATGTTGCCCAGGTTGATCTTGAACTTCTGAGCTCAAGTCATCCAACCTGCCTCAGCCTCCCAAAGTGCTGGGATTACAGGGGTGAGCCATGCCCAGCGAGTATTTTATTCTTTTGATGCTGTTATAAATGGAATTGTTTTGTTTATTTTTGGAGTTTTTATTGCTAGCATATGGAAATACAGTTGGCTTTTAGGTGTTTATCTTTGATCGCACAACCTTGCCGAACTCATTTATTACCTCTAGTAGTTACGTAGTTTGAATTTTCTATATACAGGATCATATCATTGGCAAATAGAGATAGTTTATCTCTGGATGCCTTTTATTTCTTTTTTCTTTTTTTAATTTTAAAGGATGGGAAACCAGGATTTTATTTTTTATTTTTTGGATTTTTTTTTTTTAATTTCAGTAGGTTTTAGGGAGCAGGTGGTGTTTGGTTACATGAATAAGTTAGTGGAGATTTCTGAGATTTTGGTGCACCCATCATCCGAGCAGTGTATACTGTACCCAGTGTGTAGTCTTTTATCCCTCACCCCGCTCCCATGCTTTCCCCTGAGTCCCCAAATGCTAGTGTATAATTCTTATGCCTTCGCATCCTCATAGCTTAGCTCCCACTTACGAGTGAGAACATACTATGTTTGGTTTTCCATTCCCGAGTTACTTCACTTAGAATAATAATCTCCAGTTCCATTCAGGTTGCTGCAAATGCCATTATTTCGTTCCTTTTTATGGCTGAGTAGTATTCCGTGGTGTGGGGGTGTGTGTGGGTGGGTGGGTGTGTGTGTACACACCATATATTTTTTATCCACTCATTGAAAAATGGGCATTTGGGCTGGTTCCATAATTTTGCAACTGTGCATTGCACTACTATAAACATGCATGTGCAAGTGTCTTTTTCATATAATGACTTCTTTTCCTCTGTGTAGATACCTAGTAGTAGAATTGCTGGATCAAACGGTTGATCTACTTTTAGTTCTTTAAGGAATCTCTGTACTGTTTTCCATAATGGTTGTACTAGTTTACATTCCCATCAACAGTGTAAAAGTGTTCCCTGTAGATTCTGGATATTAGTCCTTTGTCAGAAGTATAGATTGTGAAGATTTTCTCCCACTCTGTAGGCTGTCTGTTAAGTCTGCTGATTGTTTATTTTGCTGTGCAGAAGCTTCTTAGTTTAATTAAGTCCCGTCTGTGTATCTTTGTTTTTGTTGGATTTGCTTTTGGGTTCTTAGTCATGAAGTCTTTGCCTAAGCCAATGTTTAGAAGGGTTTTCTGATGTTATCTTCTAACATTTTAATGGTTTCAGGTCTTAGATTTAAGTCTTTGATCCATTTTGAGTTGATTTTTTTTATAAGGTGAGAGATGAGGATCCAGTTTCATTCTCCACATGTGGCTTGCCAATTATCCCAGCACCATTTGTCGAATGGGATGTCCTTTCCCCACTTTATGTTTTTGTTTGCTTTGTTAAAAATCAGTTGGCTGTTAAGTATTTGACTTTCTTTCTGGGTTTTCTATTCTGCTTCATTCTGTGTATCTATTTTTATACCAGTACCATGCTGTTTTGATGACTATGGCCTCATAGTATAGTTTGGAGTCAGGTAATGTGGTGCCTCCAGATTTGTTCCTTTTGCTCAGTCTTACTTTGGTTATGGAGGGTCTTTTTTGGTTCCATATGAATTTTAAGAATTTTTTTCTAGTTCTGTGAAGAATTATGGTGGTGTTTTGGTGGGAATTGCATTGAATTTGTAGATTGCTTTTGGCAGTATAGTCATTTTCACAATATTGATTCTACCCATCCATGAGCATGAGATGGGTTTCCATTTGTTTATGTCGTCTGTGATTTCTTTCAGCAGTGTTTTGTAGTTTTCTTTGTAGAGGTATTTCACCTCCATGGTTAGGTATATTCCTAAGTATTTTATTTTCCTTTAGCTATTGTAAGAAGGGTTGAATAATTTTTGTTTTTATTTTATTTTATGTATTTATTTTTTTGAGACAGCGTCTCACTCTGTTGCCCAGACTGGAGTACAGTAGCACAACAGCTCACTGTAACCTCCAGCTCCTGGGTTCAAGTGCTTCTCCTGCCTCAGCCACCCGAGTAGCTGGGATTACAGGCGCCCACCACCACACCCAGCTAATTTTTGTATTTTTAGTAAAGACAGGGTTTCGCCATGTTGGTCAGGCTGGTCTCGAACTTCTGACCTCCGGTGATCCACCCGCCTCGGCCTCCCAGAGTGCTGGGATTACAGGTGTGGGCCACCGTGCCCGGCCTAGGGTTGAGTTCTTGATTTGTTTCTCAGTTTGGTCACTGTTGGTATATAGCAGAGGTACTGATTTGTGCACATTAATTTTGTATCCTGAAACTTTGCTGAATTCACTTACCAGTTCTAGGAGGTTTTTGGATGAGTCTTTAGGATTTTCTAGGTATGCAATTATATCAGCAGCAAACAGCAATCTTTTGTCTTCCTCTTCACCAATTTGGGTGCCCTTTCTTTCTCTTGTCTGATTGCTCTGGCTAGGACTTCCAGTACTATGTTGAGTAGAAGTGGTGAAAGTGGGCATCCTTGTCTTTTTCCACTTCTCAGGGGGAATGCTTTTAACTTCTTCCCATTCAATATAATGTTGACTGTGGGTTTGTCACAGGTGGCTTTTATTACCTTAAGGTTTGTCCCTTCTGTGCTGATTTTGCTGAGAGTTTTAATCATAAAGGGATGCTGGATTTTGTCAAATGCTTTTTCTGCATCTGTTGAGATGATGGTGTGATTTTTGTTTTTAATTCTGTTTATGTGGTGTATCACATTTATTGACTTATGTATGTTAAACCATCCTGGCATCCCTGGTATGAAACCCACTTGATCATGGTGGATTTTCTTGATATGTGGTTGAGGATTTTTGCATCTGTGTTAATCGGGGATATGTGTCTGTAGTTTTCTTTTTTTGTTAGATCATTCCCTGGTTTTGGTATTAGTGTTACACTGGCTTCATAGAACGATTTAGGGAGGATTCCCTCCTTCTCTATCTTTTTGAGTATTGTCAATAGGATTGGTACCATTTCTTCTTTGAATGTCTGACAGAATTCAGCTGTGCATCTGTCTTGTCCTGGACTTTTTTTTCCATTGGCAGTTTCTTAATTACCATTTCAGTCTCACTACTTGTTATTAGTCTGTTCAGAGTTTCTATTTCTTCCTGGTTTAATCTAGGAAGGTTGTATATTTCCAGGAATTTATCCATCTCAAGGTTTTCTAGTTTATGCATGTAAAGGTGTTCATAGTAGCTTTGAATAATCTTTCATATTTCTGTGGTATTGGTTGTATTATCTCCTGTTTCATTGCTCATTGAGCTTGTTTGGATCTTTTACTTTGAGATGGAGTCTCGCTCTGTCACTCAGGCTGTGGCACAATCTCAGGTCACTGCCGCCTCTACCTCCTGGGTTCAAGCAATGCTTCTGCCTCAGTCACCCGAGTAGCTGGGATGACAGGTGCCCGCCACCACACCCAGCTAATTTTTGTA